GAATATTCTACTTTAACCTAAGGACGATTCTAGAATGATTGCTTACAAATAGCTTTTGATAGGAAGCGAGTAGAGATCTACGGTTCTTTCCATTGAAAAGAGAAACGATAGGAACTACACAACTATGTTATGCTTTAATTTGGGTCATCTCAAAACATGTCAACACATGAGGTAATATACTTCGTCAATTCCAGTAGTGATTTTTGTTTTCAGTCTTAATCTAATTATAAGTCATTTGATCATAATTTCCAGAATGTGTTCTAGAGATCATATGGAACCAAAAACTAGCATTTCTAAGCTTTATCACTAGGCTTTCGTTTAATTTGTTTTGAGATAAACCAAGATCAGTTCTTTGAAGTCACGGATTTCTAGAAAATATTCATAACTCTTAAACGATGTCAACTCTCGGTCTTGCATAAATTTGCAGTTCAAACTACTCTTCACAAATAAGAGGAAGCAAAACTAAATACAATGACAAAATGTTCTAGACAATTATTCTCAAATACCTTCAACAAAAACTTATCGAATCGATTATCTTCAAATCAATAAAATATAATATAGTTTTATACCATCTAACATTATTCTTTTGAATGGTGGAAACTACAGTTCACTACTTGTTTTTTAATGAAAATTTATTCAAAAACGATTAGTTCTGTCTAGCAGAAGGGTTCATGAAAGATTTTGGATAGCATCACTTTGATTTAGTGAAAGAAAGGCACATCCCTCTTCGCTACGCTACTACTGTCTCGAATACTCATAATCTTTCGTAAATTATTGTTAATAGAATTTGTAAAGAATTTCCTTTTTACATGTTTTATTTCAATTAGCTAGATAAACTCTTTACTGCCATGATGCATATAGATGTACTGATTTAATTTGAAAAATTTCTTTGATTTTTTTTTTCTTTAGTCTCAATTAACAATTCAACCAAATCGTTTATTTTATCTTGAAATTATACGTGTAAATTATTATTCAATAAAAGCTATACGTCGATTTGATCGTGAAACCGTATCATCATATCGTATTGAATTATATGCACGTGATTTTGGTCAACCAAGTTTACGTCGTTCAATGACATTTGAATTAAATATAACTGATGTTAATGATGAAAAACCAATCTTTAAAAGTAATTATACATTTGATATAGTTGAAAATAATCAGATACCAAGTACTATTGGTCAAGTAAATGCTTATGATGCTGATCAAGGTTTAAATGGACAAATAAAATATACAATAATACCATCATCATCATTTTTTTCTATATCATCAACAGATGGTATTATATTAGCAAATATTTCATTTGATTATGAATTAAAACGTGAATATAATTTTCAAGTACGAGCATGTGATTATGGCAAACCTTCACTTGATTCAATAACTTATGTTAAAATTAATATACTTAATCAAAATGAATATTCACCTGAATTTGAAAAGAAAATATATAATTTTTCTATTTATGAAAATTCAACAAATAGTACAATGACATTTATTGGACAAGTTAAAGCATTTGATCGAGATTATGGAGATTATGTTAATTATTCATTGAATTACAATGATAATTTATTTACTATTGATCAAAATGGAAATATTTGGAGTAATGCTATATTTGATAGAGAAATACAAGATGAATATCAATTAATAGTTGTTGCAACAGATAATTCAACAGCTGAATTAATTGGATCAAGTACAGTTATTATTAAAATCAAGTAAAAATTTTTCTTTTTTTTTGATCTTCTTCTATACAATCGAACGATACTAATCTAGCTTCTTGACTAATAGGTTCTCTATTATCATTTTCTTTCTTTTACATTTCAAATTTTCTTGAAATAGACAAAAATTTTTAAAAATTCATCGAAAAGTCTCATTGGTCGATCAATGCATCGGCTTATACCTCTAACCGAGATCAACGACGATAACCATTAAGACTGAGATCACGTATAATACTCTTATGTTGTGAGATAAATATCTATAATTTAACTTCATATGCTATCGTATAACGTTAAACATCGATCTATCTAATCATTACGATCTATTCCCAGCATATGAGAGAAAACAGTTTGACAAAGCATAAATCTGGCTATTTAACCTAGTCGTATGAGAAAAGCTTCTGTCACGAAGAAATATTACATATGTCATTTATTCTTTCAACATATAGAAAAAAAACCCGATAAACTATTTGTTGTTACTCATTTTGTTTATCTTCATTAGTTAGCAAATTAGGGTTAAATTACTGATCAATCGAATCTGGAAGAAATTAAATTAAGAAAAATCAATAAGGAATTAGTTTGTTTGACATTTTCTATACAAAAAAAAAAATATATTGTTTTTGTTTCTTTTTTCTTTTTTTGTTATAGAGATGTTAACGATAATTATCCAATATTTATTTGGCCTGATTCTGATGAAATTCGTCATGTTCTATCTGGCGATCATTCTCAACGTACTGATTCAAATAATCCTTTATCACAATTTTTAACTGATATTGTTGTACAAGATAATGATATAGAAAATAATTCATTAATTCAATTAATTATTTCAAATAATGATTTATTTTATATTGGTTCAAATAATTCTTTATGGTTACGTAATTCATCAATATTACCTGGTACATATGATATTGAAATAGAAGCAAAAAATCTTGATTTAATAACAAAAAAATTTTTACATATTATTATTTATGATCGTAATCCATTTAAATTAAATTTATTTAATAATATGCGTCGAACATTTTCACGTTTTTCATTATTAATTATTATTATTTTATCATTTTTAGCAACAGGTTCAACAATATTTATACTTATTTATTATTTATGGATACGTTTACATTATACATCTGATGTACAAAAACATTTATATGGTAGTCGATTAATTGTTAATGATGAAGATAAATCAAAACAAAATAGTCCACAAACAAAAATGAATATTTTATCAACTAGTCATAATCATGATTATGCAATTATTAATAAACAAAGAAAAGTATGTTTGATTTATAATAATACGAGTTGAATATTTGTTCGGTTTTCTTCTTTCGAAGACTAATGATCTTTATTTAACATCTGTATATGTAAAAACAATCGACCGATGATGATTAGTATTTGCTCAATTGAGCATATGACTATTATTGAGACTGATTATGCACCAATTAATGACCTTCTCTTTATGTCAATTAGATCGAGTTTGATCAGTGAAAAAGAAATCCTTTATGTACAGATGTCTTTCTGTAAAGAAATGTCAATGACCTTGGACGAACTATTTTTTTTTTACTAACATTTGGAATCTTGTTTTTTTTCATTTTTTGTTTTTCTTAAGAATTCTCAAGTTCCATCTGGTAATAGCTTTTCAACAACAGATGGTGATTTTTCTTCATCACTTCTTTCTTGTCCTTTCAATGGTATATCTTCTTCAACAACTGATCTTAATACATCTTATAAAAATCCTACATCATCAACTGTATCGGCTCTAGCAACTTTAACACGAAAATCATCACGTCGTCATCAAACAAAAAATGTTAGTTTTGAACCAACATTAATCAATCCAACAACAAATACATTATTTGATGATTTATTTCAACCTAATTTAACATGTTTTCATGAAAATATACCTTCAACATTTAGTACATTACCAAAATCGACTAAACATGATCTATCTTCATTATCAATAAATAAACAACAACATCAACCAAGTTTGAATGATTTACCACGAACTCGTTCAAATAATTTTCCAACATTACAAACTGTTCTTAATCAATCATTAAGAAATAGTCAAACAAAATTACCACAACCACCACCATTACTTAATGGAATTCTTTTACTTGATCAAATGCTTACAAGTTCAACAACATCAAATGATGAAAGAACTCAAACATTATCATCATCAACAGCTAGTAATAGCGGATGGTATAATGTTACATCTAATTATCAAACAAGAGCTAGCATTGTATAATAAATATTGCATGTCTGTTTGTGCGTGTGTGTTTACTAGTCGTTGTCTTCTTTTTTTTGTCTTATCATTGCTTTTTTTTCTGTAAAGGAATTATTTGGAAAAGAATTATAATAATGATGACTGTTGCTTTTGTGTGTGAATCAAATGCTCAAATGAAAAGTCTCTTTTAGTTTGAAAATGAACGATCATTGATTTAGTTAGATAGATTGAACATTATGAAAAGTGATCTGTTGCATTAAGAAAAAGAAGTTTCGAAATTTAGCTTGTTATTTAGAAAAAGCAGCTCTGTTTATAAGTGTGATTGTGTTCATCAGTGCTTTATCTAGTATGTGATCAAAAGAATGATGTTTCTTGAAGAATTTGATTTCATTCTATTCGGATTCATAGTTATTGTGTCAAAAACTTACGAAGGAAACACACGAACTAATACCCGCCGTTTGAGCTTATATAAGGCCTACAAGAAGGTCTTGATGAGACTAGCAAAAGTCTAAAAGAGCGTTCTCGTGGACCTTTAGAGCCAAGTTATGATCTTTTCACTAAAGTTTCGGATTCATTGAAACAATCATAACTCGACTCCAAAGACTCATGAGAATGAGCCCTTTTAGACTTTTGCTACTCTCACCAAGATATCCTTGTATGCCTAATATAAATCCAAAAGGAGGCATCAGTTGAAATAGTTTCCAATAAAGATAACTAATGACTAGAATCCATCGGGTTAATCTCGAACCCGTCAAGATCTAGTTGTTTTGAGAAATCTGTAGGATACGCATGTCACTCAAAGCCTTGTTCGACGGGATGCTTGAATTTCGTACCTAACGGATTCTACCGATGCCATTGACATCTCATTTACAATTAACAACAGTTTTTCAACTATAGAATTTTATTTTCAAAGCAGGCTATTGTAATAGAAATCGATTGTTCATCTCATTTTGTCTTCTAATCACCGATTGGGCTTCAAAATTTTATCTCTTTCGATTACAAACTGTTTTTAATAAAATTTATCAATAAGAGACATTTCACATTCTATTGAACACTTCAAATTTTATTTCAACTAAATATAATCATGAGAATATGGTAATAACTTCTCTACCACCTCCTTTAACAAGTATACATCGATAAATTCCTTCACATAATTGATCAATAAATTCAATATATGCATAATCAGCATTAACATTTGTTCTAGGAACTTTAGGTAAATTAATAAGAACTAATTGTGAATTACGTGATCGTTCAAGTATCGTTTGATTAAGACGAGCAGCTGAATGCATTTTTTTTCGTACTTGTAAATCTTCAATAAGTGTATATGTTAAATAGTTTTCTTTTATTGGTTGAAAAGATGATGGTGTAAATGTATATTGAATATTTTCACCATCTAGAACAAAAAAAAACCCAAAAAACAAAAGTTTAACTTATTTTTATCTTGTAGTAAATTTACTAGCTGGATAATTTTTAAACATTTCTTGTAAATATTTTTCTCTTTCATTATTAATTTGTTTTTCATTGATATCAAATGGATTAAAATATTTTGAATTTATCGTTGTCATTGTTCGATATTTTGTAAATGCTGATATTTCTTGATCATTAACAATAACTGCATGTACTTCAGCTTGTATACGTAATTGATAAACATATTGTTCAAGTTCACGTTTTTGTATTTGTGGTTCTTGATTAGGTAAACATATTGTAAATAAACGTAATATACATTTATTCCAAACATGATGTTGTTGTAAAAGAAATGCTAATAAAAATAATAAACCACCATCATGTATTATCCACCAAATATCAATATAACCAGTTTGTATATCTAATAAACTTGGATATGAATCAATATTTTTAAGAAGTAATATAGCAAAATTTTTATTTTCAGCAAGACGTATAGAATCAAGATAAGAAACGATTGTATCATCGATACGACTATCGATTTGATATTTTTGCCATGATGTTGGCCAATCTATAGGAATTTTTTATTTAGAAAGAAAAAACAATTTTCTAAAGAAAATATTTACCAAACATGACCTAAACGAGAAAAAAAAATTCAAATGCAGTATTTTTAAAGGAAATTAGTAAGTTTCTTGTCAATTTCAAGATTATCTAGTGTTTGTGTTTGAATATTGAGAATCATACAGTCACGATACGGAAAAAAGAAACCTTCTCCGAAATCTGTTTTTTGTAATGCAACTGTTAATTTTGATCACTTAGATTTAACAAAAAAGCCAAATTTCTTTTTTGAAACAAAAGTCTATAGTTAAGTCTAGTATCAAACTAAACATTAGTGCTTTAAATGAAGTAGCAACATAAGGTAAACCGATCTTGATCGTTTTTTTTAACAAGTAGAAAGCAAAAACACTACAACAAAATAGTTAGTACTTTGAAATAATGTTATTTTATTAGTTTCATAAAAACATCAAACTCTACTTTCAAGATGTTACAATCGAGAAAATTGGCATGATTAGATCATTTTCTTAACTAGTGAAAATTGACTTATTCAATTATTTCCACTATGGAGAGTCGATTACAACTCTGCAATACACATGTGACGAAGGCGCTGGTAAAAGACACTCATATTAGAATTTAGAATACGACATTATCGATTATCCTGATTCAAAGATCATAATTGAAACATTAAGGAAACTAATAGAGCTTTCTGACTTTGAATATTAACTATTTCCATGTTCAAATTTTTTCTCTAATCTACAATACTTCTGATAAGAAAAACTATCATCGTAGTCCTTTTCTTTGTACAATTCATTCTCTCTTCATATGTAATAAAAACCTAAGATCTTCCTCGTACATAATTGTACAACAAAAATCTTCTTTTTTCCTTATAGCCTTCGTTCTAAAGATATCAAAACTTTACTGATTCCTCTCAGATCATGTGAAAAATCAACTTTCAAATTTTGACTTCAAACTTTGTACAAGCAAAGTTTGAAGTCGATAGTCAAGTCTCTATTTGATCTGACGAAAACGAAGAATCCAATGAACTTTCAACATTCTAAGAATGAAACACCTGGAAAAGTTCCCCTCATGACATACAGAAAACTTTTCCAAACACTTTTGAAACGGCGTAAAACAGTATTAGGACATGATTTTGTCATCAAACTCAAATAATTCATTGTCAAGTAATCGTTTGCATAATCTGAAATTGTGTCTAGTATTTTATCAGTATTTTCTTGTATTTGCATCAAAAATAAACTCTAATTTTATACCGTATTTGGACGAAATCCACCAACACCACTAGTTTGCATTAATGAATTAATTCCATCATAAATATTATTTGCAACAAGTACATCAATAAATCCATTGGGAATTTGATGTGTAATCATTTGTTCTTTTAAATAATGACGTAATTGTTCAGCTATATCTCGTTTTTCATCATATTTACCTAGATTAAATTTAATATTTTATTCGTTTCCAAGAGAAAAAAAAAGCATTATAAAACAATAAAATCAAACCTTGTATAACCGTTGCTAAAATTATAAGACCTTTTCCAGCTTTTAATTGACTTAATAGATCAAGTACTTTTTCATGTTCAATCATCCATCGATGTTGATTTTCATTATAAATACATTTAATAAAAGCTAAAATTTGTGGTCGAAAATTTTTCGTATGCATTGGTCGATCATCCAAACGTGATAAAGCTACATGTGCTATTGACATAGGTAAACCTTTTAAACCTTCGCCCCATTCTTTATTAGCACCAGCATACCATATATAAATATAAACAATTACACCAATAGCTAAACTTATTAATGCTATATACCATGATGATATAAGCATTATTGCAATACATACAATAACACCAAGAAGTGATAATAACCAATGATAAAAACGAAAACGTGGTCGCCATGATGGTTCATCTGAGAAATTTTCAAAAAACATTTTAAATTTTTACAATTATAAAATCTTACGTAAAAGTGTTTGAAGAATACAAACAAGATTAACTGATAAATAACACATAAGAAAAAATTCAGAAACCATGGCTGAATCAATACAAATAAACATAGAAAAAAAAACTAAAATTGCTTTTTTTTTGTTTTTTAAATCAAATCAACATACTGGTTACTATATCAAAATTAGCTATAAGTACACTTATTTCAGATAATATTAATGTAAATAATAAAGCTTTAAATGGTTCATCTCGAAATGTTGATTGAAATGGTTTTAATATTGGCATAATATCATCTTTTGCTACTGATTGTAATAAACGTGGAGCACCAACCAAACTGAATTTTTCAATAGAATCATATTTTTTTCGTATAAATTCCTGCTCACAATAGAAGACTGAACACAATGGCGTAGCCAGAAATTTTCCAAGGAGGATGCCGACTCATTATAGGGGTGCATACCAACAGCAAAATTAATTTTTATTTCTGAAAAAGATTTTTCACCAGTACTCTCTTCCAGGCGTTTTTTTGGTCAAGGAGGGTGCCGGGACACTCTATGCACCCTCTGGCTACGCCCCTGTCTGAACCTTCTATTAAGTCAAGTTTTCTTATAGTTTTTATTAAAAAAGCTTTTCAAAAAATACAAAACGATTCTGAAGGTTTTTTTAAAATTCCAGATATAACATTGGCCACAGTAATTTTATACAACATTATTTATCAACTGAAGACACTCTATTGCCGAGAAGGGTTTTTAATTGAATTCCCTTACCATTGTAATCCAGCACCAAAACAAGCACATAATGCTCCAGTAATGATAACATAAGGTGATGGCCAAGCAACAACTGCTTCGACAAGTTGTTGATTAATACTTAAACCATCTCGATCACGTAAAAGTACACCTTGAATTGAACAAGCAAGAAGAAATGCCATAAGAATATAGATAAATGATGTTGTTATAACGGCCACTAGAATATAAAATTAATAAAAAAAAAAAATCTTTAAAAACTAAATCTTACAAATTGTTCCTCGTGGTATTGATTGACTTGGATCTTTTAAATCTCCACTTCTATTTGATCCTGCCATAATACCTGTTACACTAGGAAAAAAAATTCCAACTAGAATAAAATAAATTTATCAATGATTTTATTTCATTTTTCACTTGCTTAAAATAAATAAAGATGTTGTTGCTTTACTAACAACTTCGAATTTTGAATCTCCTAAATCGTATAATCAAACTATCATCTTCGTTTAATTGAGAAAAATCCTTAAACAAACCTATAATTTCATTTTCTATTTCTCCTTCTTTCATATACATTGATTTTAAATTATTTCTAAATTGTGAATCTTTTAAACCAGGTATTCCATTTATTAAATAAACATTATTTATATCATTACAATTTATATTATTATTTGTATTATTTATACATAATATTTGTTGAAGTGGACATATTTCTCCATTACATGTTAAATTCGAATGACAATAATGAATAACATTATTTTTTAATATAGATGATTTAATTAAATGTTTTATATTATTTTTTTCAATAATACATATTGGTACATAAGTAGGTGATATTGCACTTTTTATTATACCAATTAGAATAGATATAATAGAAAGAAAAACAACAAGTAAAGTAAATGGTGCTAAATAATGAAAATAACAAACAGAATATTCTGATTTCATTGTGAAGAAGAAGTAATTTACCTATACGTGAAACAATTTTTATACCAAGAAAAACTACTAAACCAAGTATAAAAAGTAAAATTGTTCCATATATACGATAATGATTAAATGAACTTTGTTGATTTTCAATAGGTGGACCAAATAAATGACATCTAAAATATCTCATTTATTTATTTCAAATAAAAATTAGGAAACAAAAAAAAAGATAATTTACCTATTCGGACATGTATATTTTAAAAGAATTTCACTTGCACCTAATACATACAAACCACCAGCTAATGCATTACCTATATAAAATAAAAGTCCAACAGCTCCTCCAACAGCTGGACCTAACGATCTTGATATAAGAAAATAAGAACCACCTGCTGGTACAATTCCATTAGTTGCAACTAAAAATATACAAAAAAAAAAAAACAAGTGTCAATCACTCTTCCCTAATGAAAATATTCATCACACGAGTACAAATTGCCTGTATGAATGTTCACGTTCATTTTTTCGTAGAATATTTAGCATAAACATTTATGAACTTATACATTGAAAGGAAAAAGTGACTTTTCATTTTAAATTGTTAGCTTGTAGGATGAGATTGAATATTCAAATGTGAGTTTTCTAAATTTAGCTAAAAAATTCTGTATTAAAAATCCACGCTTTCAAAGTAACTATAAAATGCAACGAAACAAAAGAAACTAGCGACTCTTTTTACAAATCAAGGGTGATTTAAAATCATAAAACATCTGGATGATACACTATAGAAAAATAATTTCTGTTAGGAGCCAACCCAAATCGTTATAGTTTGGTTCGTTTTCGATCTCATCTATCTATTTGAGTATCTTTTTCGTATAGTAATCAATAATTCATGTTTATTAGTGATCAGATGTTCCTGTTTTACAGAATAATTCCTTTTTTTCCTTCTTCCTTTCCCACATTTTATTATCATTGAAACTGTGTTTTAGTGTACTCTCGCTGTGTGAAATAGAAATCTTCCTTGTTAATGAAGAAAGTTAGATATTTCTATGTTTTGGTACATAAAAAGAAAGAAATATTTCATTTTCTTCTCTAACAAGGAAGATTTCTTTAGTTCGATTTTTCATCATGTACATATGTACTTTTTGTTATTAAATAAATTTTATATTTAAATATAAAACGAATGTTATACGACCATACTAAACACAATATAAGCTTATGCATATTTTACATAAACCATTAGAGTACACAAAAAAAACCTATTTAGGTGTATTCATGAGTTCTTGCTCGATGATTACCTTTCACTAGGATTCTAACATAAATTTTCTTACTTGCAGCTAATGAAATAGCCGTGAGAAAAGTACATAAACAACAAAGACCAATAATAATCATTCCTTGAATAATTCCGCTTACACCTATAACCCAATAAAGTCGAATAAAAACAATAACACCAATGATATTTTGTACACATGGAAGATAAACACCAAATAATGTATTTAATTGAGCGTTTGATGATGAACTAGATAAATCATCAACAATAGGCATAAATGTTCCACCTTGATAATCATATAAATTTTTAAGAAAACTAGCTCCTTTTTCAACAACTAATTCTGTTTCGCCAATATTTTCATTTTCTTTAGATTTCACCGGTAGAATTGATGGTAATGATTGTTGTGATATTGATTCTGTATGTAAACCATGTTGATATTGTGTTTGTACTGCAGAAATCGATGGAACTATAAATATTATATAGTTAAGAAGAAAAAAACGAATCTTTTTTGTTTAGTTTCAATTTAATAATACCTTCATCAGTCTCATCAAAATGAATAACTTTGAAACGACCTTTATTTCCTGTAATAGATTCAGTGCCATTTAAATTTGTTATATCTGATACAGCAGTAAAAAAACTATCTATACTCATTGTAAATAATTACGTCATATGTTCATTAGCGTTTTTTAAAGAAAATAAATTCAAGATTTTCAATACATCATTTCCTACAGATGTCTCTGAATATCATTTATTTAATAGCGACATTTACATATTAAAGATCAATAAGAAACGAAACGAACAGTTGCCAAGCATCAATCTATACGAATGGCAAAAGTTTATCTTCATTCGTTTTTCTTCTTCATTTCATCATGACACAAATTGTTTCATCAAAACCTTTTTGTCTTGAAAATTCTACACAATTAACTCGACCTGCTTCCGAATCATTCTATCGTATCAATGGTAGTAATGATCCAATAATTATTGATAAAAATCAAGCAAAACGTCTCTATCGTCTTCAACGAGCACCAAATGTAAATACTCGTCTTCATTTGGATAATTCCGATGTTAGTTATGAAGCACAAGGATATTTTGAAAATATTGTACGTAAACAAGTTGAAGAAAGTACAACACAACCAACAAAATCAGTATATCATCCACCAACAGATATGTCGAATACATCGATGAAAAAATTTTCACTTGGAAAAGCTCGTCTTGATCCTCAACATGTTGTACCAAGTGAAGCAACAACAATACGTAATCATCCAAGTGCGATTACTATACTTCGGTAGAAGAAAAATTTTAAATAAATTCAATTGAAATTTTCTCTATTTTTTGTTTTTGTCAGACATGAACAAGGTCCCAATGGTGAAATTGTACCACGTTTTACTGATCGATTAGTTTTAGATAGACCACTTCGTGGTCGATTAGGTCCAGGAGGTCAATATTTCTCTTCTTTCTTTGTTTTTTTTTTTGTAAATTTTTCAAAACAAAAAATATTTTCTCTCTTCATATAGGTAGTTTAAATCCTGAAGAAGATTGTAAAGAAGCAGAAAATTATCTTCGAAATCAAGGTCGTTTATCCGCACCTTCAACTCTAACTTACGTTCCAAGTACACAACAACAATCTGTTAGTGATCAATTGAAACGTGATGAACTTGCTCGTCATTTTATGTATACATCAGCTCAACAAGCTTCTTTTAATGAAGTAGCATGGGGTAAGTTTAAATAGATAATTATTTCATTGATCGAAAAATGTTTTTATTTTTTTTTCTACATTTAGATTCTAAATTACCACATAAATTACCAGTTCCATTAACAACATATGAAGCTGATGGAAGTGATCCTGTATTACAATCTAAACATTTAACATCACTTCATGATGCTCGTACACGTAAAAATCTTGAATGGGATCGTACACAATTACGAAATACTAATTTCTATCGCAAACCTATTGATAATGTTGCACCATTACCACGTGCACAACATATATCTGGTTATTCAGGTACAATTGGCGGTTATCATATACAAGACATAGATAATCCAACAGTTGATTTTAAACCATATACTGTAGTACGTACTGAACAACCGAAATTTGGTATTAATCCATTGTATGTTTTATTCTATTTTAAATTCTTTTTATAAATAAATTTATTTTTAGTAAAACAAATATACCTTTCTATACTGGAAAAACACATTGGACAAAAGTTGATCCTGTATCACATTATGATCAATCAGGTCGTGCTTATACAACAACTGCAGCATTTCATAAGTATGAAGCCTACTTATTCTTTTTGTTGTTCTTTCTGCTATAGATTCTATTGTTTTTGTCAAGGCCACTTTCAATTGATTATGCATCTTATCGTCATTCTGGTTTAAATGGACAATTATCACGAGCAGTAACAACTGTTATACCACAAAATCCATTTAATCAAATGGATATTACTAGTACAACAGTAAATGCATCATTAGATAGTCGTCCTCATATATTAATTCAAAATTTACCAAGTAGTGTATCATCACCAATGAAAGATAATAAAAATGATGAAAAAAAAGAAGAAAAAACTGATAATAATCAAATACAAAATTAGATCGAATTTTTTTTTTGTGAACTATTCCTTTCTAATTATTTTTTGGTGCTGTTTATTTTCTATTTTTAAATATTATCTCTTCTTATATTAATTTTTAAATAAAATCTCGCTTTAATACCTGCCTAATGTTAAGAGATGTAATGATTTTGACAATGAATTTGTATTATTTATTAAACAACTAATTTTCTTCATTTATAACATATATTTCAACTCTCTTTTTAGTTCAAGCCATACTCTAACATTGTTGATTAATATATACATATATAATGTCAATTGAATTTTGAGATTCTGTAAAATGAATCAAATTTTTTATTCTACCACTCTATGAAAAGCAAATACAAATGATTGATATGAGACTACTTGAAATGAAAAGGATTGACCGATGATGATTGTATATAGTAAATCGGATGTATTATTTAAAATAGTATAGAATAGTTCAATTAAATTTAAATAATTCTTTGAAAATTCGTAGAAGATGGCGCTGTATTTAACTCTGACATATGCCTCAGGTTGCCAGGTTTCACCTGTCATAAATGTCAGATATATGGTGTAGAATAAAAATGTTTGTATAAGTGTCAACTATTTACTTTAATTGTACATTTCAATGTGACACTTTTTTTTCAAGTGTTAATACAACATGATAAATAATGGTGAATTTCCATCGGATTTGTCCGATACGAAAGGACAAAAAAAAAGTTTTAAAACTGATTCTATCATTTATATTGATAATAATAAAGAAAATGATCTTATTCAATTTATTAGCAAAGCACAACAACAAGGTTTTAATTGTCTTGATCTTTCAAAAAGAAATATCAAAGAATTTCCTTCTCAACTTCTTGACTTTACAACATTGCAAGTAAATATCATTTTCTAAAACAAAATAATATATTTATTTATTTATTTATCTATTCATCTGTTTTCTTTTTCATAGTATTTATATTTAGAAGGTAATCAATTAGTTCAATTACCTAATGACCTTTTTACTCGATTAAAAAATTTAAAATGGCTTGATTTACGTAATAATCAATTAACATCAATACCGAGTGATGATCTCGCTAAACATAATTTTCTTCAATATTTATTATTAAGTGGAAATCGTCTTCAGACATTACCTTGTGAACTTGGTAATAAAAAACAGAAAAATTTCAATTTATTTGAAATGTTTATGGTTTTTTAAATTAATTTTAGGTAAAGTTAAAACATTATCCGCATTAAATCTTGATGGTAATCCATTAATACATCCACCATTTGAAATAATTAAACAAGGTATTAAAGCTATACAACAATATTTACGTGATAAATTTAATGAGAATGATAAATCAATATCATCTGATGATAATTTGGACGACGACGAAGAAGTAGAAGAAGTAGAAGAAAAAGATAATGATGATGATGATGATGATGATGATGATGACGATCAACATCGAACAAAACTAAATCCTCCTCATCGTCCATCATTACCCAGTCGAAAATCTAAGTATTTTGAGTGATACAAAAAAAAAAGTGAAATAAATTCAAACGAAAATTTATTGATATCGTCTTTATTTTATCTATAGATCTGAAACGAGCTATTACGAAACAGCAACTCTAAATCTGTTACCTGCTCATCTTCAATCATGTTTACAATTCAAACGAATGACTTATTCAGCAATACGTCCTTCACCATCAATTAGATCACGGCCACAATCTGAGATGAGATTATCGCAAATGTATGTTACTTTTTTCTCTTACGATAGAAGTCCTTCCCATTATATAGACTCAAATGAACTATGAATATGCGCAGATACTGCACTTTTATGGTAACACAGAAACTGATTTTTGAATTTCTATATCCACCTTTGCATAGAAACAGATCTTAACGAGAATAGCTTTTGTGAAGCACGATTTAAACAGAGTGTTCAAGTATAGGAGTAGCACTTTGCAAAGACGGCATATTAATAACGTTTCGTTATACTTGATGAACTACTTCCTTATTGCATTTCCGAAGAATTAAATCTAAGGATGGTGAAGAAATATATCTTTAAATACATAGAATCAAAGAATTGCTTTGTGATTAGCAACAGAAGTTAAATCATGTTTTCATATGTTGTTGCTATTCCTATCCGAACATACAACTATGGTAATTAGATGTTTTCTTTTTACATAGCTTACATACCCCTCAAATTTGATGTTCTTATTTCAGAATAGAAGTTAATCAAAAGACTTTAAGCTTTTACAATAAACTATTTTTGTTATGGTCTGTCTCTATGTAAAATTTCAAGTCAAAATTTGAAAAAATACCGTAAAAGTACAATTTGTCTGTTGATTTATTAGTTCGAAGATTTTTCTCTGGAATATAGTTGCAATTTATTTAGGAAAACAAAGACAATAACAAATAAAAATAATGATCCAGAAAGTGATATCTATATAACTCAAGAAAGACCATTTACACAATCAAGGGTATGTTTTCATACTTTAGTTATATATATATAGATATAAATAATTTTGTTTATTTTTTAAAAAAGCATCGTAATATAAGAGTTGATGAAGAAATACAACAATTATATACAAAAAGTTTTAACCCAAGCAAAGGTAATTTATTAATAATTTAAACTAAATTTTATATTTATTTCTTTAAATAGAATTTGAAGAACCGATTGTACATACACCATTTCATATTGATGCTCATTTTGCACCAATAGTGAATAAAAATCAACTAGATATGAAAAGATATGAACGTCGACGAAGTTATTTACCGAAATATTCTATCAATGAAAATGAAGAAAAGTAAATCAACTCATTAAATATTGTTATAAATTCAAATATGAAAATTTTCTTCTCGATTTTGTCAGTTTTCGACGTATGCGTGATCAACAAATTCAAGATCGTATTCGTCAAATAACTGATAAAATGCTTAAACGTCGTTTTGAAGCTCGACAAAGTCTATTTGAAGAAAAACGTCAAGTTAGACTTGAATTACGCGAAGTAAATCTTAATTTTATATATTGTATAATTTATTTTTCTTTTCTTGTTTTATTTAGTTACGTAAACTTGAGTCAGCCGGAACTCAACATCGACCAATCAGTCAAATGAATAATCGTTCAAAAACATCTTATGATCATGTTAATGTTCAAAAAAAATTGTAACTTCTTTGTATTAATAATTTTAAGTCTATTCAAGTGTTTGCCTACTGTCAGGTTATTTAGACCCATTTCATAGAAACTGTCTATTTGGAACAATAAAACATCGAATCAAGTGTTGTGTGCAAAGCTTTCCACTAAATTCGAAAAAAAAAATTAAATATCTTTTCATGATTTCTTGTCTAAGTACATGAGTAAAAAAAACAGCGTTTTTTTTTCTTTATTTACTTATGCAAACTGATTATTCAGGTGTTTGTAAAGTTGATTTTTAATACTATGTGCATAGTCCATTTGCAAAGTAGATTTTTTATTTTATAATTACAGATGTGACAGTGCTTCATTCTTAGTGAATATTTCTCACGAGGAAACATTCCCAAGTGATTCGCTCTGTTTTGATTCATTCGTAAGTCATTCGATAGAGTATATTGAGACAAGAAATAGCCTAAAAGGATTTGTGCCCATGGCCTACTATTGAGGAGTTATGGCCGTTTTACTGAAATTTTTACTGTGAACCAGGCATTACGGAAAAAAACAAAATGAAAAATTTCGAACTGAAATTCTATATATAGATAGATTTAATAGTCATTATATAGTCATGAAAGTTTCAACAAAAACGAACATGTCTTTCTCGAGATATTCAATTTCCAACTAAATTGGATTATTGTGTCCTTCTATGGTAAACACCTTTTTTTTAAAAAAGTTGAACAACTCGAGAAAGGCATGTTCGTTTTCGTTGAAACTTTCATGACTATATAATGACTATTAAATCTATCTATATATAGAATTTCAGCTCGAAATTTTTCATTTCGGTTTTTTCCGTAATGCCTGGCTCACAGTAAAATTTAAGTAAAACAGCCATAACTCCTTACTACTAGGCCACGGGCACGAATCCTTTTAGGCTATTTCTTATCTCAATATACTCTATCGAATGAGATATGAACGAATCAAAGCAGAGTGAATCACTTTGGAATGTTCCCTCGTCAGACTACTACAGTATATCAGATCCGAATTGGAGCATTTAAAAAAATCTGCCAAAGGACCTTGCACTAGTGACGATCTCAGAATATTTCTGAATATTATAAAAGAGAATGAAGAATAACGGTTTCAGCACGATCCTAAAAATGAAATGTATAATTCTATGTCCTTCTGTCAAATGACTTCTTTTTTCAAAAAAAAAATTAATTCATGGTATATAAGTTTTCAACTTTCTACAAATAAAACACCAATAACACTGTGAAAATACCGTATAAAAACTCAGATTAACAATAAATTCATTTTTTATATTTAACCAATTCTGCTTGTCCGCAGTATTATAATTACCACTTACATAATCAATTCTCATGATTTACTCAATACCAACTCTATTGAATTCATGTCAAAAAGTAAAGAGTTAAACTACATGCTTATTATCTTAATTAAATTTGACATTTAAATTTATTTCTCTTGACAGATTGAAAAGAATAAATGTATTTGATTTCTTCTCGTGATATCATACACAAAAGAAAGTACCCAAACAACAAAAAGAAAAAAAGAAAGAAATGAAAATGGCCCGTAAATAACACTGTATTAAAAAAAAAAGACCCATAATTCTAAACCGGTGGAAAAAAAAAACAATCCATTTTATGAATTAATAACCATTTTAAACATGTCTTTAACAAGTTGTTCCATATGAGTTTTATCTCCAATAGTTTTTCGAAAAAAAATTTCTTCTATTATTGATGATGATATTAAACGAAACGATGATATTAATGTTATTAATTTAAAATAACGATTTTCTTCACATGGATATTGTTTATTAATATATGTATTTAATAATAATTGTGCTTGATTATGTAAATAATTAATTGTATGTATATCATTTAATTGTGGATTAATTATTGTTTGACAATTATTTAAATATGTTTTAAATAAAACAAAATTTTTTAAACAAATTAATTCATTTGTATCAATTTTCATATGTTTTAATTTATTTAAAATATCTTGAAAATTTTCAATATCATTTTTAAATATTTCATATTGATTATTTAAATAAAGAAATTCATTAACATTAATTGTAAATTGTTGTTCAACAGCAGTTAAAATAAATAAATCACGCCAACTTTCTTCAAGTAAGCAAAGCTTAATAAGAAAAGAGAAAAAAAATAAAAATAAAAACTTTCAACTTGATTAAACATACTTGATCACGATTGGATAATGATATAAATGCTGGTACTGTTTTAGTCCAATTAATAGCATTAAATAAAATTTTTGCTGCTAATTCATAATGATCAATAATTGGATACTAAATTACAAAAATTATTTTTTTTTTTTTTTATTAATTAAATTTTATTTACTTTTGGTATTGATTGATGATGAAATGACATTGATTGATAACGATGAAAATGATATGCATTAATAAAATCATTAGATTCTTTCATTAATAAAGCCATTTGTTTTTTTATTGTTGAATTTCTTGGTCCACGTTCATGTTGAACAGCTAGAAAAACAAATATTATAATAGAATATTTCATTTGAAAAGATTTACCTTCTTTATTCATTCCAGCTTCTAAACAACGTCTTAAACGACAACTTCGACATTGATTTCGATGAGTTTTATCAACAGGACAATTTCCTAAACCATGATTTTTACATGTATATTGACGATTACGTCGTATAGATCGTTTAAAAAATCCCGCACAACTTAGAAAAATAAAAGAATTTTATTAAAAAAAAAAAAAAAAAAATATTTTTTTTTTTTTACCCATCACATGCAAATATTCCATAATGTTTACCAGATGAATTATCATTACAAACTTTACATGGAACATCAGTTAATATTCGACCTGAATAAGAAAGAAAAGAATTCTTTTATTAATTGACATTAATATGTTTTTTGTTTTTTATTTACTTGATGTTGTATTCATTTGTCGATGTTCGTTCATCGTCTAAAATGGATAGGTCATTTTTTTTTCAAAAGAGAGAAAGACAAAAAGTCGAACCATTCATTGAATAAATATAAAGACAAAATCAATTCATTGGATGTTGTTTGATATACATATTTCTTTTCTCTCTGTCTCTGTCTCTCTCTCTCTCTCTTCTGTTCAATAACGCTAGAAAAAAAAAGGAATCACCTATGTTATCTCATAACATTGAAACGTTTAGTTTATTCTTAATAATTTGATGTGAAAAAAAAAAAGAAAAGAAAAGATAACAGATTTTCAATATCAAATTAAACATGTTTCTTATAAGAACATGTATGAACATCACTTGTATTTTTATGTATCTAATTGGTCATTACAAATTCTCCTAATGATATGTGAGACAATAGGATCACGACCTCGTCAATCGATATGTAAATATCGTCTTCAAGATCCTTGTGCTAAGCTCATTCATTCTCTCATATAATGATGGAGGTACCTTTTACTTCTTTTTTTTTTTTTTTTAGTCTATATAAATCGTCAATTGACAAATAGTAATAATTGTATACACGACATTTATATAGAGTCTATTTGCTGACGAAGAAAATTACTATTCAAACTAATATTACTAGTTCCATTCAATCGATAACAAGCACTAACAAATAATGTAAGAAGGGCAATGAAAAAGAAAACGAAACATTATTTGAATGACAAAGCGAACTATGTTGATCATATTTGATCAATATTATATGCGCGTCTATGACTTTATTAGTGGAATAAAAAAAAAAAGAAAAATCGATACGTGTGAAATAAATCAAGTAAGAGATCTGCTTTCCTCTTTCTTGATATATGTATGTATGTATATTGAAAATTAATGTCATTTATTCATCACTAATCTCTGTACATAAATGAACAAGTTCAACAGTATATATTTTCACAAGATTTGATCTTACATCATATCAATTTGTTTTCTTTTTTTTTTAATGAAACAATATTTAAATAGAACAAAAATTTTGTCTGTAAGTGAAATTTAATACTATATTTTATATGATAATATATGCATGTTAGTATAAAATAAATAGTTGTTTTGTTTATTTTCTTTATTTATAAATTATCATTTGGATGAATAGAAAGATAGACGAACATGTATACATATTGTCATTGAATGTAAATATAAAAATGAAATTTAATTTTAAGACTTTAATAACCTATTGATAGGATTTAATTTTTGTCACATAGATGAAATTTGACTTTATTATTAAAAAAAAAAACGAAAGAAAGAAAGAAAGAAAAAATTCATTGTTGCTTACACAAGTATTATTATCATTTGAGATCATAGTTGCTTGCATGTATGCGTGTTATAATCCTTTGCATTCGAGTAAGGTGAAAAGAAATAATAACAATGGTGATTTAGCATAGGAGGGACAAATCAACCATCCTTGATAAGTTTTTTTTTTTTTCTATGTTGTTTAACGATCAAACATTTGAATTGGTTATTATTGTCAAATGACCATATCATTTCTCAATTACCAACCGTGTCGATTTTGCCGCTTATTCATTATCAACGATGGTGGTAGTTTATGTCTAGCAGGTGACCATCGTTTGATCCTTAAAGCTATGAGAAGAAAGAAAAAGAGACATACATACATCTCAATTTACAAATTGTTTCACACCACTATCGACTAATTGTATGAGAGAGTAAAAGTGAGTGATTGTCATTCAACATCTGTATGTATATATTTTATCATTACAAGTTGTAACGAACATTCTCAAAGTAATGGGCGGGTCAAAATCAATGATAGCATTTTGTATTTTAATTTCTTTATAATCTAATACGTTTTATAATAAAATAAAATATATTAGAAAATGCAACATGAAAAACTACAATTAATAGCTTCTTTTTTTTTTTTCGTACACGACGAATTGTTCTTATTTTGATAGTATTTGTTAGAAGAACATACAAATTTCATAATAATAAATGAAGTTTATATAAATGTGTCAATTAATACAAAAAAAAAAGTAATGAAATCTGCAGATCTACGAAAAATCGGTTATACGAATAATTAAAGATGGGAAAGAAATTTGTCGTTATTCTTACATTTTAGTTATGCTATAAGAATGATCTTTTTTTGTATGTAAAAGCTCGGGCTTGTAGGGAAAGGTTTTATCATTGCATAATGCTGTTAGACAAAAAAAAGACTTTTTTCTCAAGTGTTGCTGATAAAACTCTTATTTCTTGAGAAAGTATTTCTTCAAATGAAATTCTTCCAGAACTTCGACTGAATTTTTAAGCGGTAAAAAAGATTTTCTCTAAACTATTATAACGTTGTTACATAGTTTTTTTTTGTTGATCAATTTTGAGATGTTTAACGTGTTCAGAATATAGTTAAATGCCCATTTACAAAATAAAGATTAAGTACAAAACGCAGTTATTTATTGTAATTCATCCGTTACAATGAAACTGTCATTCATCGAGCGACATCATTAGAAAATAAAATAAAAGAAAGAAGAATTTCAAACGAGAGGAGGTCGGTTGGTTAGCAACGTAAGATGTAAAAGACAGTAAAACAAAAAAAGAAAAAAATCTACAAACATTCTTGATATTATTACTCGAAAAATGAGTGCTACTCATTATCAAAATCATAATGGAGGTTTGATTTTATAAAAATTAAATTTTGTAAAACTACAAGATATATCTATATAGATCAAAGACAAAATATAAAAACTCCTGAAAGTGGAGATACGGACAAACAATTTAATGATGCTAAATCTTATATATTATCAACAACAGGAAAAGATGGTGTTAATTTGTAAATATACAGTTGAAATTCTTATATTTATTGTTTGTTTTTTTCTTGTTTCTTTATTAGATATGAACATTTGGTAAAATGTGTTTCTCGATTATTAACAGAACAGCCTCGTAAGATGAAAAAAAAAACACAAACATATTTATTTAATGAAAATAATAAATGTTCTATTATACAGGTAATGCTGTTACTATATTTGAAGATATTAGTAAATCAGCTCGATCTCAGCAAGAAAAAATACAAGAACAACCTACTGAAAATACTGAAAATGCGTTAGCTGAAGAACAAAAACCACTTTTTGAAGTAAATCGTTTAAATTATTATTTACTTTTTTTGACATTTTTTTTGTTTTTAATTATTTATATAGAAATCGGATAATACAGAAGAACTTGATGATGAAGCATTACAAACACCATTGCCTCATATTCTTGAACAAGCTTATTATTTTGAACAAGCTGGTATTGGTCTTGGACGAGATGAAACATATCGGTAAAAATATTATTGAATCCAGCTCATAAAGAAATTCATTTTCATCAAAAACATAAAAATTTAGATAAATATATAGGAAGATGCAATGACATGACAGAGTCCCTTTTTCTTCGAGTTAGGGCTTGTTACTATTTTATAAACGAATACCTTTATCATTAGATTTTCATTTTTTGAGACATTTAACTTTTCTCTGCTTAAAAAGTAAGAAATTATGGTATAGAACTAAAAGTTGCATGTAGTATGAATGTATCGAATTCAAGAGCGATTTTTGACGAATGAGACGTGAAGTCTTCAATAAATTCATTTTTATTTTTAATTTTAGAATTTGGCTTGCAATTAAACAATTAGTTGATAAAGGTCAATATGAAAAAGTACGTTTTTGGGGTAAAATACTTGGTACAGAAAAAAATTATTATATAGCTGAAGTTGAACAAAATGCTGAAGATGAAGCTGATGATGATGAAGGAAATGAAGAATCTAATGAAAATGAAGATGCTAAAGATGTTGATGATGAAGAAGCTGAAGGTGAAGAAGATCCTTTACCTAAATCAACTTATAAACCACCACTACCTGTACCAAAAGAAGATCGTGGTACAGGTGTTAATAAATACACTTATTATGTGTGTAATCGTCGTAAGTTTTCTTCTTTTATTAAAAAAAAAAATAAAATAGAAATAAGATTTTTATATTTGATTTTTCTTAGCTGGAGCAGAATGGATTAAATTACCTATGGTAACACCAGCACAAATAACTCAGGCACGATTAATCAAAGTTTTTTTTACGGGAGATTTAAATCGAGAAATAAAATCATATCCAACATATCCAGGTATAGAAAAAAATTATTTACGTGCACAAATTGCAAGAATTAGTGCAACAACACATGTATCACCTCATGGAAAATTTAAATTTTCTGAAGTAATTATAAAAAATTGAATTGAATTTTGTTTTTTGAAAGATATTTTAAAAATTTTTTTTTTTAGGAAGAAGAAGAAGCAGAAGAAGATGGTGGAAAACAAAATTATCAAGAAAATGAAGAATTTACAGGAGCACCATTATCAGAATTAATTGATGATGAACTGAATGGATGGGTAAAAGAAAAAAATTCTGACCTATTTTTGTTTTTTTATAAATTATTCCATTCGTTTTTGAAATAGGTTCATCATGTTTTACATATTCTTCCTCAAGGTCGAACTAAATGGTGGAATCCAAATGAAAATCTTGAAAAAGAAGAAGAAGAAGCTGATGAAGAAGAAGAAATAAAAGCTGAAACACATGGTGTACAACCTGAACATGGACCAGAACTTTTAACACCAGTTGGTGCTGATGCTGAAATTCAACATACAAAAGCATGGACAACTAAAATATCTTCAAATCTTATTCCACAATATGCTTGTGCTTTTGTTCGATCAAATCTTTGGCCCGGTGCATATACATTTGCACGCGGAATGATTTGGGAAAATATCTATATTGGTTATGGGCATAAATATACAGCAACAAATTATAAAGCTGAATTTCCAGTATTACCAACCAATGAATATACTGATTTACCAGAAATTATGGAAATTGATGATCCATCACCAGAAGATGAAGCTAAAGCTCGTGTTGCTGAAGAACATGATGAAGAAGGAGGAGAAGAACATGAAGAAGAAGCTGAAAATGAAGATGATGATTAAATCTCGATTAGTATATGTGTGTCTATCGTCTGCTTTGGTTTTTTTTTAAATTTAAATACAATCATCTCTTGAGAATATGTTTCTATATTTGAATAATAATAATAATAATTTCTGTTGTTTTGAAAATCGTTAAATTAAAATAATTGGTTTCCAGAAACAAAACAAATCTTATATTTGCAAAAACAATGAATCAATCATCTCATATTTATTGTTGAAAAATAAATCGAATGATGTAGTGATTGTTAAGCATTCTATGTATACCAAAATTTTTTCTTTTTTTTGATTTATTTATTTATCAAAGCAAATAAGTCAAAATAAATATCGATTATAAAAGAAATTTACAAGAGGAATGGATCATGCATAAAGTTAATTCACTAATAAAACACGAACAAGATATAATCGAATCATAAAGCATTACTCTTGTATTTTGTTCATCGATCTATATTAATTTGAAGAGTAATGATGAAACTTTATTAGAAAAAAAACATTGATGTTCGAGTGAAATATCTAAACATTATGTACAAATCTAAAGAAACTAAGTCTTCTAAATTTCTTTTACATCTTGAAAAAGCAGAATATATATTTAAATCTTACAACATATTTAAGAGTTGCAACATTTTGTGTATGTATATACAACCTACTCAATTGCCAAAGTTTTATTGTGATAATCTAACGTTTATTGATTGTACATTCTATTCGGCTTAAGTCTATATTGATATACCAAGGATTAAACATTCGTAAATTTTCAGGGCTGAAAAATGAAGTCAACTGTAATCGATATGCAGAGTGAACAGAGAAAGATGGTAAATAAATGTGTTTTAAATGATCAAAAAGATTCTTTGAATTGAATAGATAATGGTGCATCAAGAGATATATTTTCATGTATATTCATCCTTTGATACATGAAGATAAATCTCGTTCGAAGAAACAAAAACAGAAAACTAAATGAATATATAATTTGTAAAACATAATTGTGAGATTCTACGATGTTGATCAATAGTTAAAACATATTTTGAAGCACTTTATTTACAAGTAACACATGAAGGAATGTTCAAACTAAGATTCGAAACTTGCCATAGTGACAAATGAAGGTGATATAAAAAAAACTCAACAGCGTATCTGTATGTCGATGATGAAACATCTTTTTGTTGATCTTATCAAGTTATATTTTTGTATGTTTGTAATAAATATTATATTCAATCTATCTGATGTTCTGTTTTATGAGAACTTTTAGTCTTTTTCTATGAAAGCAGACATGCCAAGAGATATGTAGTTTGACATGACATACATGAATAACTTTTCATCTAAGTATTATAAAATTAGTCTTGGATCATCACACATCTTGCTCATTGGATGATTCAAATAAGAAAGAATCATCATATCTGGATTATCGAGTTCAAAATCAAATATGAACATATTTTCCATCATATGAGTAGAATCACGAGTACATGGATTAACCACAATCCCTTGTTGCCAATGCCAACGAAGTACTATCTGAGCAGGCGTTTTGCTATACTTTTCTGCAATTGCAATAAGACTGGGATGTTTACGTAGATCTGGAATAGGATTCCATGTAGAACCGAGTGTTACAGCATGATCAGGACAACCAACTGGTGAATAACTATTGAATGTAATGTTGTGTTTTTTAACAAAAATCAAGAAGTTCATCTTCGTGCCACTAAGGATGAAATTCGACCTAGAATTAAGAAAAAACAAATGCCATTGAAGGGAACATTTTATAATGTCAATATACTTGATTGACACTGGGAATAGTAGAATTTAAGTAGAAAATTTCTACTAAATGGTTTACTTCATAATTGCTTACATCAATGGCACGAACCTAGAAAATAAAATCGAACTAAGGATCTAGAAAAATGGAGAAAAAAATCATACTTATTTCTGTTGAAATATTGTTTCTAATGCTCGCCATGTTTGAATGCGGTATTCAGTCCCCGTTGATTGTCCTTCTTTACAAGGAAGACTTATTTCATTAGACGTACTCAGTATTTCACCTGGTCAATGAATAAGAAGAAGATCGATGTATTCGGTCTGTAAGGATTCGAGAATACCAGCGAACTCTTCCAATGCTTGATCATAACCAGAAGGATTTACTTTCGATGTAATGAACATTTCAGAACGAGGTACACCACTAGTTACCCATCCCGTGCCAATTCCATCACGTGAGGCATAATCGTCCGAAGTATCGATACGTCGACCACCCATTTTTAACCATGCTACAGTAGCATTATGGCCTTGTTCAGGTCCCCAGTATTCACCACCTGAACCATCAGGTTGACCATAACCTCCAGTGCCTTATCCTACTGCAGGCATAAGTACTTCTCCATGAACAGCATTCATGAGTCGAACAGTGGGTTGTTCATTAACACAGTTCATCTCTGAAGTGTAATAGAGAATCGAGATTGTAAATAATATAAAGCAGAGAATATCCTAAAAAGACATAAAGAAATGTTGTTGTTGTTCTATCGTGAAAGTAATTGAATACGAAATAAAAAGAGAAGACAGACGAGAGAAAAAACGTAATGCATAGCAAGCAGAAAGGAAAGAAAATATAGTAAGAAAAAAGAATACCTCTACACATGCAAACACACATGTGAACTGTAAAAGAAAAGGGACGATTGATAGTACCATAATATCATGTATCCAATATATCAAAATTTGCTAGATAAGCAAGATGTTATAGTATATCCAAATTTGCACGCTAGATACGACAGTAAAACCAACTATATTTCAATATTAGTTTAGTGAAGTTTGCCAATTGTAAATTTCAAAAATGATTACGATGTATCGATATTCCTTTTTTTTACTAGAGGTCTTCATATGTTTACTATAAACCTTGTGTACATTCTATACTTAAATATTAGGAAAAAAAAGGTCTTTTACGTGCGATATACTACAGGAGAAGAATATGATCTCCTCTATTCGCATGAAAAACATGCTTATATAATAAGTATTTCCATAATCAATGTTCGTTAATTCAGAAAGATTTGAATATGACGATACGTCATTCTTACTGTTTTTTTTTCTTTATACATATCGAACAATATTTTAGCTATGAATTTTATAAATTAATAGTACAATTCTATCGAAAGTACTAACCTAAGAAAGGCTGTAACTGATCTTCACTTTTCGCACGTTCCAATTGATATGTCTATTTTCATTTTAAAAATAGAATAAGAAAATAATATGTCTAATCTACAACGATCGAAGAAACAGCTTATAAGATGATGTTTGACGTTATCGACAAATGAAAAAGTGACAAAATGTATTGGAATATCAAAGAAAACGTAAAGCTAGTCGTTACAGGAGAACTATCACAAATACGTTGAGATTAACGAAAATAAATTTTATCACAGATGACTTTGTACAAGAAACGTGTAAAAATTTGCTTAATATTTAGGTCTTATCATAGATTAGCCGTGGAAGACGAATAAGAAACAGAAAGACAAATAATCAAATTATTAATTCATGTTTTTATTACCGAGTCTTTCACATTTAACAATGAAAACGAACAAAAACTTTCAATGTAGAAACGTCACTCTCAGTGCAAGTGGTGTTGATGATGTATAATTGAAAATTTTATCCTTCTTTTTCGAAATGATTGATTTTAGAAAAAACGAAAAAAAGTAGTAGAAATCTTATATCAATTGGATTTTCCACAATAAAAGTAATTATTTCAATTGCTATTCAAGCATTCTGACGGATGGAATTCTGAAGTAAATTGGCAAAAAAACTGAGTAAAACCAACATAACAAGTGCTTTATTTTGCAAATATAACAGCAAGTATAAGACTTACATTGCCGACTTGATTGTCGTTTACAACATTTTCGAGATTAAGATTTCGAACGAAAACTGACAGTTATTTGAAGCGAAATGACATCATGATGAATGATAAAAGTACGTTCATAACGTTTCAATTAAGAAAATAATTGAAGAATATAATGACCTTAATTATTGGCAATGACAAAAGAAAATCGCTGCAAAAGTTTTTTTTCATGAACAATATTTTGGTATTCAAGATGCTTTTTCTTTGTATCTAGATGAAAGAAAATTACCAACAAGGTTTCGCAATTAATTCTCATCATTATATGCTCAATTATACTCTTAGTACACTGCTAAATGTTAAAGAGACTACTCATAAAATCATTTACAAATTGAAGCACTTGTCAAATTTTATTTTTGGACTTGGTGATTGCATTTTAATCGACATCATTTAAGGGTGTGGGTGTGAGTGTGGGGTATCGGTATGGGTGAGGTTGTGGATGGGTGTGGGTTAGTGGTGTAGACCGTGAATGTGATTAGAAAGAAGCTCATATCCTCACACACCTGATACCCACACTCACATCCGTCCAGAAAATTTTCATGAATATTTTCCGTTGTTATAAATTGTTTCAATAAAAGAAGATTATGTGTAGAAAACTAAATATTTTTTTGATTTTTTCTATACTGCAACAAGGAATATGAGAATAACGAGATGGCAATTCAAGTTTCGCTCGGCTTTAAAATGGTATGCGCAGCGGCTGAAACATCTATGAACGAAAAATCGTGTGAACAAATAGTTATATTTACGGGTGTGGGTATGAGTCGAAGCAATACCCACGTGTCATACTCACATCCTTTGCAGATCTTACTTTTTGATGAATCTGTTGTTGTCACTGCTCTAAAAAACTGAGAATATAATCTATTTTTACACAATACGTTCTTAGTTGCATAATCCAAGGGAATCGATCGAAATCAATTGAATAAAAAGATATTATAATCAACTATCTTATATATAAAATACTATTGATATATTGCCATATAATTATTGTTAATGCAAGTGGAACAATTAAAAGTTCGATTTCTGAACTATATCTTACATCTTCCAAGAGTTTTGAATTTTAACCATAATGAGATTAACACATCGTATATGTCATGCAGAAGTATTCAGTTATCATAAAACAGTTTTATTTTTGTTATTTGATATACTGAAAACATAAATTGCAAACGAGCAACTGTAACAAATATCTAGCATATTAACTGCTTGTACTTTTTATATATGTCACCCATGATATAGAAAACAATAAGAATAAATTGTTCATTTGAACGGCACTGTTTTTTTTTAATTTCGTTTTCTTTTTTCTTTTTATGGACGTCAGGATAAAATGCAAACTTGAGAAAAAAATGCGTTGCTTCACAATGCCGTATTTTTTTTCCTTCAACAAGAATATGAATAGATGACAGCAGTTTTGTTCGATATAGCTTCTATTCTGTCAATTTGTTCATTGACCAATGAAAAATAAGAAATAAAAAACAGCATTGAAATAAACATGTTCATAGTGTGTGTTGACTGAATGACACGAATGATGTCTCAACGTTGTCAATTAAAATGATAAAATGCGTCGAAGACAAACGACAAGAAGAACATCAACAGCTGATGATGATGATGAGTATGTATTGCTTTTTATTTTTAAATATGTATTTATTCATGAGTATTGTTCAAGAGATGTAGTCAATCCAATCGATGAAATATGGAAGAAAATCGAGTCAATAGAAAAAGAAGTCAACCAACGATTAGAAGAAATTAATCATGATCTTAATTGTTTGAAAGAAAAAACTCGTGGAAATGAATGTCATGATGATGAACGTTTCTTAAAACTTTGTCATGCTGTAGACTATCTTCTTGAGCGTATTGATCATGATTATGATACAATAGCATGTCGCGAAATGATCTTATTATTACTCGGTCAAAGGTCAGTACGTCCGTTCTCTGGACGTACAATTCGCAATCGACAATTATGTCGACGTATGAAAAGATGGTGTTTATTTGTTGCTCTTGTTCTTTTTATTGTGGCATGCATGTCAGTTTATGGATTACATCGTAATTGGTGTTATCTTTTAGTAATTTCATGTCTGTCAGGATCAATACTTTCGTCGATTGGTCTTCGTCGTATATACAAAATTATCGAAGCGATCTGGTGAAATTCTGATTGATTTAGTTTCATTCTCAATATTTATTCAATTTTTATACAGAGCTGATTTTTTTTTTGTTGTGACATTATATTTGACTAAATTCGTGTTTATATTAAACTTACTATGACTCTGTTCTTGTACGTTTCTGTGTAGAAAAGATATTGAAAACAAAAATAAAAAAATTTCTAATTAGAATTCTTTCCATCAAGTCATAAAAATGTTATGACAATCTCTTGGATGAAATCACCATCATATGAACATACTTTTCACGGATGCTATTAACTATCATTAATGAATTAAGCATCTGGTCGTTCTTTCTCATGTTTGAGTTGTATTACTTATAATAAATGATTATATCAAATGTGTGCAATGTTATTATAATGTATAGGGTATTAACTTTGCTCATGCATTGGCTTCATAATGCATCATACTCTCACATTCTAATCATTAGTAGAAGCTTCCATATTTTCAATTGCACAGTTTTTAGAACGAAAAATTTTATCAGTATTTATTCAGCTGATAATGTATAAATTCAAACCAATATTTTCTATATTTAGATTTCAACGAATAAAAATAAGACCAAAAATATTCGAATTTCAAAGTATCGATAATCTATGTTATTTGGCCATCTACTTCAAAATTTCACCAGTATTGATTTTTCTCTTCAGGTTATAATTGGATCGAGTTTACATACATATTCAAAAGTAATTTTACCATAAATTTTCAACATACCATTATGGTTAAACATAAAAGCAATAGACATACAATTTGGATTCTTGTAAAATCGTTTTTGTATACGTGTAATATTGGTTTCTCTTACTAAACTTATTAATGTGTAATTAACCATGAAGAAAAAAAACAAAAATGAATGCTGCTGAAGTTCTGAAGTGTGGCCACATGATATAGGCTGTAAATACCTTCAAATTCAAATATGTTGATCCATGTATGCCCATGGGTAGTTCTTTGTTTGTTCTTGTTCAATTTCTATTTTAACTTTTAAAGTGATTCCTAGTTGGATATTGTATTCTTTTGAATTGATACCATTGTATAACTTGTATAAAAGTTCACGATGATAATGATCAAGAAACAAATATATCAAACTTTTAATATTGTAAATCATAAACATATATATATAGTCAATTTTTTTATTATTAAAATAAAAATATTCAGTAGTAAAAAAGTTAAATTTTCAATATAGACAAAATAACGAATGTAAAATAAAGCTTTCAATCTCTCTAGATACCATAGCTTCATAAACCGATGTCTATATAATTGTCAATCTATGCAGATAATGATCGTTTATGCTGACTTGAAACACAATAAAAACTAAGTAATTAAATGTTCAAAGCACATGAGTCACTTTAACTTAACCATAGACTATAATTTATTTAAATGACATGTACGCAAATATTACCATAAAGAATTTTGATTTGCAAGAACAAAAATCCAAGAAAAAATAGTTGTTCAATTGTTAACCATTATTATTTTATTCGTTAGTTTATTAGATTGAAACAGACGTTCGACAATTCAATAAACAGAATATTTCCATCATTTTTTCCTTTATGGGGAATTTTTTTTGCATCTCGAATATAATATGTAACAATAATGAATCTATTTTAACAAGCTAGGAATATGTTTCAT